TAAATTAATGATATATGTATGAATTATCTAAAATTAAATAAATGAAATTACAGATTTAGGTTAAATAAAGATGTCAGTCTTTATTTTTCTTCTTTTTAGGAAACAAATCAAAGAAAAAATAAACAAATTCTATTGTTCATAATATTCTGTATTTTCCTCAAAAACAAAATATATTGTGTTCAGTGGAAAAAAGTTTTATTTTTTTTACCCAGTCATTTAAAAATAACACATTTTAGAGCTGTAACGACAATACCGTGAAACCGTGATATTTTTTGCTTAAGGTTATCATACCGTCAAAATCTCATACCGGCCCATGCCTATATTAAAATAATCAATCATTACGAAACAAACGTACCTCTAAAAATTGATCGATTTCAGCAATTGGGAAAAACATTATGAAAAACAGGAAAACGATGAGAATTAAAGCAGAGAGGACAAATGGCCCTGAAAGAGAAAATAAATAAATAAATAAAACAGACAACCAGAAACACAATCAATGAAGAGTAACTGAAAACTAAATTTGCATTTCCCCTATTTTCAAGACAATGTCAGACAAAGATCTAACAATTTAGGTTCAATAAGCAAATATATCTCTAAATTAACTGCACAAAAATATCAGGATCTAAATATTAAAATAAAATTATCAGTAGAGAGAGATAGCAAACATTATATCTATATAACATTTCATGGGAAATGTTCAAAATGTACTCTTAAATTTCTTTCAAATTTCATATGCTTAAATTGAGAGAAAAAGAATATAGAAAAGTGTGAGGGATTTTAAAATATTGCTGCTTTGTGAGTTGTTTGTCAATGCACTGCGAATGCATCAAGTTAAAAAAGGTTCATCCTTACAATTCTTGTAGCTGGGCTGGCGGAAAGGTTTTCCTTTGGAGAAAACAATGGCAACAATGAGGTACTGAAAAGAGGAGACGAAGAAGAGTGTGGTATTCACATCATTCATGATTCTTTCTTCAGTCTGTTCTTCAGTGGAGTTAGTGAAGTCATCCATGTGATGGGGAACAGAGCAGTTGTAGAAACTGTGAATTATAGAACAAGAAAAAAAAATGACCAGAGCTGAAGTAAGATTATATGATTAATTTTTAAATAAGGTTAAGTTTGAAAACAATATGAACACTGTTAAAGTGTTGCAGTACCACTAATGACCTGGAGAGAGCAGTGCACTGTAACTCACTCTGGCTTGGAGTACCAGTCTAAATTTTGGATCAAGAGGAAGGCCATGATCTGGAAACCCAGGCAAATGAAAATCTGGGTCAGAACTGAGAAGAGGAGAGGACCTGAGACGAGACCAGAGGGAGGTCTTTGGGCGACAAGCTCCTTCCATGCGGAGTTCAAACTCACTAGGAGTGAATGGGAAAGCAAATCAGAGAAATTATACAAAATAATCAATAATTTACTTATAAATCAATAATGTACCTCAGTTTTCATGAGCTAAAACTCTTTATGTTAAATCTTAATGTTTATTAACAACATGAAATCACAAATCTTATTGTGCATGATCTAGTGCACATTATTCTAAAGAAAAGTTTTGCAGCCATAAAATACAACAGGCACCACTGAGATCGATCTGAGCTCAACAAGATGATCATACTCACTGGTGAAGACAATTAGAAGAATGATGGCCAAGTCAATGAAGAGAAACTGAAAGTCACCCAGGTTACTGCCAATCTGAAATGCATTATTAATGGATCAGGTTTGTATAAGCAATCTCAGCATGAACTAATGATCTTCTGTTACTCACAAGCACAGAAAGATGTATAATAATGTCTCCGGTTACATACCTAACCTCGATTCCCTGAAAGCAGGGAACGAGACATTGTGAAGCTCATGCTATGGGGTTATCCCACTCCTTCCTTAAGTACTGAAGCCTGATTGAATCGCACTGGTAAATCTTACCGGCCAATGACGCTCAAGCTAGGGGTGGAGCCACCCACTATATTATAGTTGGCTGAATCTTTCCCTCAGAGTCTTATATACCTGTTCGAACAGTCAAAACTCGCTGAGGAATTTTAACCAAAAAATGTTATAGACATTTCAGAAATACCCTAAAGAAACGTGACAACTTGTGTGAAAATGAGCATCCGATGTCACCTTTAAGGCGTAGTCAATGTCAAGAAGTCGTCTAGAAGGCTTCGATGCTTGCTTTGTGAAGAAGAAAGATTCTGAGTTAATGACGCTGGGCGCCGACCTATACAGTGGGTGGCTCCGCCCCTAGCTCGAGTGCTCACACGTCATTGGCCAATAAGATTTACCGGCGCGATGCAATCAGGCTTCAGTATTTGAGGAAGGAGGGGGATATCCCTATAGCGTGAGCTACGCAATGTAGAGAGACCAACTTGATAGGGAACTATAGTAAGTAGTTCGGTAAATGAAAGGGGAACTTACGGAGTAGAGAAGGGCAACACTGAGGCATTGAATAATACTGTACAGAGCCATGAACTTAAACACACAGAAGGAGGTGATGAGAGCTGCTCTGCCCTCCCTGTGGAGAAACAACACGTGTGAGACTCTCAGCAAACAGGACATTTTGTGCAAAGAACATTTGTCTTTGGGAAACACTGTCTACAATGTTGAAGGCCAAAACAAGCACCCTCATGAACTCCAAATTATTTATTTTCAAAACATTCGATTTGAGGCACATCAGCATCATTTACACTAACACAGCATCCTAACCAGTTTCCACAGAAACTAAGAAACTAAGCAGTCAACAAAATGTCCTGTTTCTCAATGTGGTTCCTTAAGACAAAAACTCTGATTACTCACATTATTAAGTTTATCAGCCCCAAAACAATCATAATTTGTTAGTATGATGATTTTCTACTCTTTTTTTTTTTTCTTTTTCTGGCCCTTAGAATTAAACGGGCTGTGTTTGCTATCCTAATCCTGCTTCAACCTTATTACTTTCAAGGGATGGGCTAAACATTAAGGGATGGGGGGGGTTAAATATTTATTATTTAATAGTTGTTTAATTAAATATACATCAATATGACTATATAACAACAATAACAACAGAATTATTAGTTTTATTACAAAATAAAAATATTAAATATATTAAACAACATAAGAAATATCACTACTGTTATATTCCACTCTAAAATAAAATAAATCAAGTATTTGAGAAAAATAATTGTGCAGTAAACTAAAATTACAACACTAATATTTATGGCTGTTTTAATTTCTTCATTTTCAAACATTAAACATCAAGCTTTAATTTAAAAAATAAAAATAATATTAATAGAAAAGTTCACGTTGGCCAGTATTTATTGTGAATTTATTTACCATGCAGCCTTTGCCAAAGGCATTGTAAACATGGGATGTGAAAAAATTCACAAGACAATTTGATTTCTCTTGATATCAACAAGATATCCTTTAAAACAAAGCTGTGCTGTGGTGCAGTTAGGACACCTGATCAGGTTGGGCACGCAGGTGATGCTGGGAGTTGTGGAGGTGAAGGGAGAAGCCACTGAAGCCTCTAGCTCTGACAGGGAGATCCCAGCATGAGCTCTCTTCAGTGCCTGAGGACGAAATAGACAGACATCATCAGCTACAAAAGACACTTTCAGAACATCTGATAAGCATAAAAGACACACATAACCCTTGAAAACACTTTAAAACAGATTATAAAGACCCTCACCCCACAGTCATTTGCTCCATCTCCACACATTCCTACAAAATAGCTGCAGAAGAGAGGAAAAAAAAGTTTGAAAGGTTTTTACTTTTTCTTATGAAAATGTGAGTGGTACTTTGCAAAACGTATGCACAACTAATTACTAATCTAAACAGCTCTCATGGAGTGTATTCGATACTCACTCTACACTTTCTAATGTCTCAACAAGCTGAGTCTTCTGGTCAGGCGCCATCCTTGCAAATACTGTTCCATGAAGCACCAGCTACACCACCAACCATAAAAACACCATAAACACCAAACATAACACAACCCATGTATGTACAAATACAGTATTAAAAAAATTGCCGACCTTCTGTAGCAAGTCCTGGAAATGCTCAATAATTACAGAAAAAGATTTGCCGCTCATGGCAAAGTGATACTGCTCCTGAATTCTCATCTCATCCACAGAATGTCCATCTTCCATAATAATATCCATCTCCTGCCATCAGAGAACACAAGTACAGAGATGCTAAAGATAATGCTTTTTCCTTTATCAATAACATTTATGGTGCTGAATACCATAGATTAATGCATATTGTATGGCCTTGTGTAATTCCATTGTAAGTGTCCTACTGTAACAGTAATTTTGCTAAAGGTATTTGATTGAAAGCATGTCAACATGCCACAAATACAGTACTGGTGATTGGTCTCATACCATATTAACCTAGAACATTAATTTCCACAAAACCACAGTGACAGGGTCTGGCCAGTAGATGGCACACTGACCTCTAGTTTGGTGGGCTTGTTCAAGTGTTTACTGGGTTTATCGGCGTAGTGCCAGTTGATCTTGGCAGTCTGGCCGTCTTTAGGGGGCAGAGCATCGGCAATAATGACTCGGTCTTGCGGCTGAATCATGCCGCAGTCTCGTGCCACAGAGATGGCCGTCAGCATGTTGTCACCTACACAAGAGACAGAGAGAGAGGAAAAGATGACGAAAACAAAAACAACAACCCTTACAAAATACACATTCTTTGATAGTAATTTTTAAATATCATTCAGAGACTTTTGGACCATCTAATATACTGGAATAAAGACTTTTTTTTTTTTTCAGGGGACAGAGATGATGGCTGGTATGTGGCAATGACCCAGCATTCCTCAAGATTGTAAGAGTGGGTCATGTACAAACTCAATCTGCTTAAGTTTACAATGCTGCATTCAGCCTCGTCTCAACTTTGGAGCACTTGGCTGGTAAACTGGAGAGTTGAGAACCTTATTAGATACCTAATGAATTAAGCTTCAAAGCTCCCAGATGCCGCAGTCTCGTGCCACAGAGATGGCCGTCAGCATGTTGTCACCTACACAAGAGACAGAGAGAGAGGAAAAGATGACGAAAACAAAAACAACAACCCTTACAAAATACACATTCTTTGATAGTAATTTTTAAATATCATTCAGAGACTTTTGGACCATCTAATATACTGGAATAAAGACTTTTTTTTTTTTTCAGGGGACAGAGATGATGGCTGGTATGTGGCAATGACCCAGCATTCCTCAAGATTGTAAGAGTGGGTCATGTACAAACTCAATCTGCTTAAGTTTACAATGCTGCATTCAGCCTCGTCTCAACTTTGGAGCACTTGGCTGGTAAACTGGAGAGTTGAGAACCTTATTAGATGAGATTCCTGGAATACCTAATGAATTAAGCTTCAAAGCTCCCAGACTCCCGTCTGCCTGCGGCTGGTCACCCTAAACCTTCCATCTTTAAACAACATGGGCATATTCAACTCCTGATAAGCTAACCAGGTAAAGAAATCCAAATAAGGTAAGCAGTGAATAACTGAACCAGGATTGTTGGACAGGAAAGAAAACCTACAGAACTATAGGCAGCAGATGTAATATACTACTGCTCAAAAGTCTGGGGTCAGTAAGAATTTTTTAAAGAAATGTATACTTCTATTCAGCAAGGAGACATTAAATTGATTAAAAGTGACAGTAAAGACATTCATCAAATACATAAATAAAATCACACAGCCAAATCAGCATATTAGAATGATTTCTGAAGGATCATGTGACAAGAATAATGGAGTAATGAATGACTCCTGAAAATTTAGCTTTGCCATCACAGAAATAAACTACAATTTAAAATATATTAAAATTGAAAAGTTCTTTAAACTTTAATATTATTTCATAATATTGCTGTTTTGACTGTACTTTTGATCAAATAAAGTCTTGATGAGCAAGAAAGACTTGCAACAAAAAAAAAATATTTTGAACTGTAGTGTAAACTCAAAGTATATGAATAGCCATGTTCTAAAATGTAAAATTGACCGTTTAAAAAGAAACCTCAGGAACTATATTAAACTCACAGGTTTTCTGAAATGACACAGTCATGTTTTCTGTACCTGTGACCATAACGGTTCGTATGTTGGCATGTCGTAGATCTTCCAGCACACCTGGAGTTTCCGTTTTCAGCTTGTTCTGCATGATAATCAAACCCAGAAAATCCATATTTTTCTCAATTTGATCCCTGTAGAGCAAGAGAAACCAAATATAGTGTGACATTAAACCAGAGCACAACATGATAAAAGTTACAGCATAGCATTGTAAATTATTTTGTAAAAGTGCCAGTAAAAAGTTTAGCTGAGTTTAAACTTTACCGGTTAATGTTCTGCACTTTGTGAAATGTAAGTTTGGATTCCAGCCTTCTGTGTGCCAGCGCAATGACCCGGAAGCCCTGTTTGGTGTAGTCCTCCAGAACCTCTGCGAAATCCTCTGGTACTGTGGTGCATTGTGAAAAAAAAATAGCAATATCAATCCAACAATGATTTAAAACTCAAAAACGATTTGATATTTATAACAGACGGATCTTTCACTGACCTGTTTCTTTCTTACACAGGCTTGCCACAACCTCTGGTGCCCCTTTCAGATATGCGTCCATACGTCTCTCTCCAATCTGACGGACAACCACGCTCATTCTCTGCAGAGCGGAGGAGAAGGAGAACTGCCGCACAATACCGATCATATATGATGCCTGTAGCCCGAAAAACAATAGACAGTATGTAAACACCCATATATGTCCATAACGAAATACATCAAATACAGCCACTGTACATACCGAGAGCTCATAGAGTTCAGACAGTTCCTGGGAAGAAACCACAAGATATTAGAACAATGTTTTAAATACAAATAATTTAGATTATAATAAGCAGAGAAATGCTCACCATGTCCTGTTCAGGTGATATTACAGATGGCGGCAGAAGCTGATTGGGTGGTTTTACATAAGTGAGTTCAATGCGGTCATGGTGAGCCGTCTCCTCTTCTGTAGCTTCCACCAATATCTGAAGAGCACAGACAGACAGCAACACCAAAATAAATCAAAACAAGTACAACTTGTTCCAAAACTTGAATGAGATTATTTAAAACTGTTCTCCAGTCACAGCAAACACTGACCCAGCCTGTGGCCTCAAACATCTTGAGGTCTAGTGGATCTCCAGAGAGCTGACCCTCAATCTTGGTGAGAGAGTGACAGGTGGCCATGCAGGACACAAACTTGGTAGTAAACAAGCTCTTATCGTCGGCTTTTTCTTCTGAATGGTGGAATCTAGAGAAGAGAGATTCTTTGGTCAGAAACGCAAGAAATGCAATGCAGTGCTAATTCAAAAACAACTGAGAATGTTCTTGTTTTTCTATTTTATAAATATGATCATACCTGCCATCTTCTACTCGTTGAATTCCCCACATGTCCAAGCCATCTTCTGTGAGAGTGCCTGTCTGAAATGATGCAGAATAATAAAACATTTTTCAAAAACGACTAAAAGCAAGCCTTAATTGTTTGTATAATAATTATAAAATCTATTTTATTATATTATTAATATTACAGTATTAGTACAATTAATATTAATATAATTATTATAATTATTATTATTAGTAGTAGTAGTAGTAGTAATAAAAAGTTTATTAAATAATCAATTTTATTAATATTATTACCAATAATAGTGATGTTATAATATAATAATAAAATAAATAAATATTAAATGAAAAAATAAATATTAAATAATATAAATAGTATATAAAAGATTTAAACTATGTATTACCTAAAAACTAATATAATACTACATCATAATGTTAGACAATGAGGTGCTAAAATGTCACAATTTGCCTGAATTCACACTAGATTTATATATATAAAAAAAAAAAAAAATTTAATCATCCATAATATTTGACTCTTGTTTAATTTTGGCTTAATTCAGGTTTCACCTAAAGAAAATGACTTCAGTTTCCCGTATTTACCTTGTCAAAGCACACCAGGTTCAGCTGTCCACAGATGTTGATTCTTTGTGGGCTGATGGAGAATATCCCGACTTTCCTGAGACGCCGCTGAGCATATACTATGCCCGCTGTCATTGCTGCCGGCAGTGCAGGGGGCACCGTGATAGTAATGATGTCCAGAGACTTGACTATGATTTCCTTTACTGGTTCCTGCAGGATACACATCATACCACTGAGGTGCACATTTTCCACACTGTAATTACTAGATTGATTCATTGAACAGGTCATATTTTCCTAGAATTTACATTTAAAAATCTGCTCAAAGCTACATCCAATATACACATTGTTATTTAACCTACATCTAAGTGGGAGCGACGTCACAAAAATGCTGCTGTTCCTTTTAAAACAGTAAAGATGGATAAAACCCTGATTTATGATTTTCATGACCAAAGAATAGACAAAGACGACGCTGGCAACGGCCACCAGGCACAGCAGGAAGAGGTAGGCGTCCCGGTACAGCTTAAAGTCTGTGGGTTTGGGGTACAGGATAGAGCGGATGAGCTGCCCTTTAGCGGTGCTGAAACCTGGAAAAGTAGTGAAACATAATGGCACTGTAAGCACATACATTCAAGCTCTGTTACAAAGCCTAGTCAGCTGCCTATGAAGGAAGTATCTTAAAGCATCAGCAAGGCAGCATTATTACCAAACTCTAAGGCAGCATCAGATAAATCCCACAATACATTGCAATACAACTTTAGTGACCAAAAAAGTCACAAAGTAGGAGAAATGTTGATTAAAAAGTAGCTGAAGTAGTTCTGGCTTCTAACCTGTTTGGACTACCACGGCTTTGACCATTTCTCCTGTGTAGTAGCGAGTCTGTATGACGTTTGTGCCACAGAACAGCGTATGTCTCTTGTGTTCCTCTGTGCTGTAGATCGCGTCTCCATGCCCACCCTTCTTGTCCTGCTGAGGGTTCGGAAGGTCAGTCTTTGTGACTGGAACACTCTCACCTGAATGCAGGAAATGAGAGAAGAGAACAAAAACATTTTCACAAAAATGAGACATACATATCTTTATTAGTAATAAACAATATGCTCACTTTTGTAAAATATATTTATAGAATACTTTTATTTTTCTCCATATCTCACACACTTTCGAGAGTGAATTTTGTTGATGAATCTGTACGCCTATTGACAAACCACTGCAGCATGAAAAATGAATCACTTTTTTCATCTGAAAGTGAAAGTTTATGCAAGTAATATTTATGTTGTTTAGAAAGAAAGAAATATGGAGGTTTCATATATTTGGACTGTTTTTGAGCAATCATGAGTTCAAAGGAATATATGTTTTTCCCCAAATCGCCCCGCTCTAATCAACTTTCATGACATTGCATTTGGAAGCAACCAATCACCTGTGAGCATGCTCTCATTAACAATGCAGGTTCCACAGATGAGCACTGCATCACAGGGCATGATGGTCCCATTGCTGGGGATGACTATGACATCGCCGGGGACCAAGTCTGTGGACAGGGCTTCCTCTGTTTCTGTAAGAAGAAAGAGAGGGTGGAGAAGAGTGAGAGGTGATATAAAACCAGTCTGTCTCAGCGAATCACTTATTACCCACGCTTCCTTGCACATGAGGCAGAGTGCTGACTCATCGTGACTTTGGCCACTGCGCCAGGCTCCCTGATGCAGGTAATCCAGGCCCGCAGCTGTGCCTGTCATTACAAATAGAGTGGGGAAAATGCTTTTTCAGTACATCTGAGCCGTACCGTTTTCGCCCCTGCAGACCGTAACTCGAACAGTACTGTGTGCTGCCACCATGTCGTGTAGCATTACATATTGCTGTAAAAAAAAAAAGAAAAAGAAAAAAAGGTTAATCTGAAGCACAAACAAACATTCTCCTGACCAAGCAGAACAGATAATGTAATAGGCATATAAAAATACACACTTTAACTGATAACAGACCTCACTTACGCAATCGGAAAATTAGCATCAACTCTAACCTTGGATATGCCCCATGACTAACACCTATGCTTGATAACTACAAAATACAACTCTATACTGGTCTATAATTAGTAGAAGCAACATGGAATCAAAAAAGTGTTACAATGTTATAGTAAATGTCTTTTTATTATGCATGATTCATCAGTGTTTGTTATTCTAAAACAAGAAAATTCCATTAAAATGAAAAATCTTTTGCTTTGAAAATGACTGATTATTTATTTATAGGGAGACTTTAGACTTTAATAAAATAGTTTATTATTATTATTATTAATTGTGATATTAAATTTTTTTATTTATTGTGATATATTTATTATAGTTTATTCATTCATTTTGTATCTTCCCTGTCTCATTAATAAAGTAATATTTAAATATTTCATCAAATTAAATTTAAACAGTATATAGTATACTAAAATAGAGCACAAAATGTATAGTATGTAAAGTATATAATAAATATGTGGTATATTATACAAAATAGTAAAGAATAATAAAGGCCAAAACTTGAAATTTATTTACTTGTATATAGAGGATTTTTTGTTATTAATAAAATAATATTTCAATAATATTTAAAATAGTTTATTTACTTAATGGGGAATGTTTGTCTTTAATAAAATAATATTAAAAAAATATTTAATAAAACAGCATTTAAAATAGTATAGAATACAAAATTTACGGTATAGTAATAATCATCTTGCATTGAATACAAAACAGAACAGAATTTTAATATTGGTTAATAAAGGCCAAAATTTGAAATGTACTCACTTATATATAGAGGATTTTTTTATTAATAAAATAATATTTAAATAATATTTAAAATAGTTTATTTACTTAATGGGGAACGTTTGTCTTTAATAAAATCATATTTAAAAAATATTTAATAAAACAACATTTAAAATAGTATAGAATACAAAATTTATGGTATAGTAATAGGCAAGGCAAGGCAAGGCAAGGCAAGTTTATTTGTATAGCACATTTCATACACAATGGTAATTCAAAGTGCTTTACATAAAAGAAAAGAAAAAAAAATAATCACAACAATAAAACAAGGAATTTAAAAACATTGAAAATGATTAAAACAATTGATTTAAGAAGTTTAAAATGAATTTAAGAAAACGATTATACATAGAATATAGTGCAATCAGTTCGGACATCGCACAGTGCTCATTCAATGAATGCACAGCTAAACAATTTTTAATAATTATCTTGCATTGTATACAAAATAGAACAGAATTTTAATATTGGTTATATATTGGTTAATAAAGGCCAACATTTTAAAGGTATTTATTTTAATAATATTAACATCAACTTCTTACAAACTAGTCATCCCAAAATTCAAAAATCAAGTTTTGCCCAACAATACTCACTATTTCATTCCACTCAAAATACATCAGTATGGAAATGAAATGTTTTGCGAATGCTGTTTTACTGCTTACCTTTTTAATAGTGTAGAGAGAGGTAGCTATTGATATGACTGACATGATGACTATGGCCATTGCGTAGTAATAGTATTCATCAGTACACCACAGGATAACACTGAAGAGCTGGAAGATGTAGAAAGGATTGAGGACCTGAGAAAGAAAGATTGAGACAAGTTTCAGTTCCTTAATTTCAAGTTCCTGAGAAGACACATTCACTACAGCAGAGTCAGCAGTGCTGTGACATGCTGTTCTCAGGCCGGGGTCAGCTTCAAATTTCACTCGTACCTCCTTAATTAGCAGCTTGAAAAGAGAAGGCACTTTCACGTCTATTTCATTCAGTCCAAAAAAACATCTCCTAAAACAGAGAAAAAGGGAACATAAATAAATAAATAAAATCATATTCAACAAATACACTTTGACCCAAAAAAAGTCAACTTTATTCTTAAATTCGAAAATGACAAATTCAAGCAAAGATTTCACCTGTACTCCTGCTGGTTTTTGTTGAGCCCGGCGCTGTGCTTTGAGTGAACGGATGAGCAGGTCATGCTCAGATCTTCCAGGCCTCTGAAGAACAGCAAAGACAAAAGTTTAAAAGATTGTGACGGATCGGCTGCCTCCCCCTAATTATCACCATCACGTCGTCTGCTCCTCCCACCACAGGATTCACAGAGCAGAATTTACACAAACCATCAGATTCATGGACTATAAACAGATATGTTTCCTTACTTCAATACTTCGAAGTTCTGGATGGTGTCGTTCCAAAAGTATTTAGTGCTGTGGAGGGTAAAATAACGTTTCTGTAACACAAAAAAAGAAAGAAAAATATATTTACCCACTCACCAATGAAGCCTAACTATATAGTCAGCAAATTATGAAATTTGTGGAAATGCAGAACTATATGGGAAGGATGGGATGGATTTTATGTGTATGATACCGGCACATGCTGGTCCTCTGGATTCTGGGTGATCTTCCCAGGGGCGGAGTCAGACGGGTTGTGGGCGTGGTCATTGGCCCGAGGGGAGGCGGTCTGAGAGGCCAGGTTGCCGTAAGGGTCCTTCCCAGGGGCTAGCATTATCCGAACCTTCGCTTGAAACCAGCGCTTGAACTCATCCTATGGACAAACACACAAACAAATTATACGCAAACACACTCACATATATAAAAAAGACATTTTCCATTTCAAATAGGCAATAACTAAAACAACTTGTGATTTTAATTAAAAGAAAAAACACTTGCAGGCAAAATTAGCATTGTAACGGACGGTACACAACCCATCATGTTTGTGTACCATTACACCCCTACATTAAAGAATTCCAAGGTGATATTTAGTTTTAAAAAAGGTGACTGTTTCACTTTAACAAGTGACTTATTCAACTGCCAGCCACTCACAAATTATCTGCCTCAGAGTTGAGAGTTATCTACCACTGAACAACATGACGTCTGAAGTAATACGCAATTCATAGTTATCTTAAAGACTAAGGCCCAATCCCAATTCTACCCCTTAGCCCTTCCCCTTTCCCCTACCCCTCCGTTTCGTGCGTTCACGTGAAGGGGTAGGGGTAAGGGGAAGGGCCAGACAGGATTTTTCGGGAACACACTTCAAACGAAGGGGAATGAATTATCTCAGCGTAAACTGGCTTCAGCGGCAACATGGCTGCACGAGCGAACAAAAAGACACATAAATGTAAGTATTTTTGGCATTAATAAAGATTTTAGCGAAAAGTAATCATTTGTTTTATGTTACATTCAATTGTGAGTTCATATGTGCACTATTTGTAAGCAGTCCAGCTGCAATTGCTTTGGCAATACAAATGTATAATTTTTGTCATGCCAATAAAGCACTCTTAAATTGAAATTGAAATTGAGAGAGAGAGAGAGAGAGAGAGCTATGAAAGTTGCGTGTGTGTGCGTCTGTACGTTTCTCTTTTTAGAGTGAGTTTACTTCAAAAACAGCTAAATAAACTAATATAAGAAAAATATAAGATAATATACAAGTTATATATAAGAAAATATAACGTAGCGATTCAGTATTTAAACTGTTATTAATAAAAGTCGTGGGGCAGCGTTGACAAGTTTCTTTGCTCCTGGATGTGTGAGCTGTGCGATATCTGATGTGTGTGTGTGTGTGTCAGTAAGCAGCGCATTAATATAGAACGGTAATTAAAGGCTCTAATGCACACCAGCACACCAGTATAGGTGTGTGTATTGTAGGAGCTAGACGACGCATGATGACGTGTGGCGGCATAGTAGTGGTGTCCCAATTCTTAGGGGAATATTTTCACCCCTACCCCTACCCCTTGACACTCTGTTTCAAGGGACAAGGGGAAGGGGTATAAAATAGAATTGGGATTGGGCCTAAGTGTTCTTAAACTCTCCTATATGAAATCAGGCAGAAAGATGTGCACTGATGAAGCAAAAGGTGTCAAACTTCCCGTATAGGCACATTTAATTCTGATATTAACATGAAATTAATTTTTACTTTTTGAAATGTACTGTCTGTAGTTTTATTATGCATAAATCTTTACTGCTAATTTATTTATGTATGTATGTATTGTTTACATACAAAAAAATACAAAAAATATTTTGTGTATTATACAAAATAGTATGGAATTTTAAAATCGCCATTTATCAGTTAACCGCCAAAATGTGAAAATTAATTATCGATTATTCCTGAATATCTAAGCATACCCAGATACTATAAAGATACAAAAGACATGCTAATGTGAGGTGTAAGAGAGCCCAAAAAGTTTAATTGAGGTTTCATACATACAGTGCTTTGTAAGAGGGCGACTTCTGCATCTCTGACAGCGGACCGTGTGCAGGTGGCCTTCACACACCATTCAGGCATCCAATAGAGCAGCAGGAAGAGAAAACCGCCCGTACAGAGACCACCCAAACCCACCAGAACCAGCTTCCATCGGCACAGCCGATACCCGCTCAGCTCCTGGACAGAAAGAAAATGAGCTCATGTACTTTATAAGAGGAAAAAAAAAAAAAGCAGCAAAAATAGGAAGGAGAAACATATACCATCTCATCCTCCAAACCTCTGTTGACAATCTTCAGATCTTCCTTCTCCATCCTGATCTTTAGTTCTGCCTGGATAACTGCTGCTCTCCTGCACACACACGCGGAGATCACATGCTAAGTGTGTGTGTGTGTGGTACAGTAAGGATTGTGTGAGGCCCAACAACAGCTGTTATACCATTGGATTGTATTGACAACTACCTGACCTGAGATGACACATAATCATGTGCACAAGTAAACACAAACACTCTGAGAAGAACTTCCTCTGAGTCACGATCCTGAGCGCTACAGCTGAGAGCCACGCTGAGAGCATTCTCAGACACATATGAGAGCCAGACAACAGCTGGCAAACCAGTGAGCCAGGCTGACAATCAAACGCATGATTAAAAAAAAGATGCATTTCTATACAGAAAGAGAGATTTATTTACACATGGGGTTCAAAATTAATTTTTACCTACCAACGGTGGGTGAATTGACTAAATTTACCAGTCATAAATATTTCCTATAATCTTATGGGTTTCATATTAGATTTTTATTAGGTCCTTTTAAGCATTTATTATTTATTTAAAAACATATTTTTTGGGATTGTGGGGTTATTTAGGTATTTTTTCATAATGAATACATATCAGCAAAGGCTATAGTCATGGTGAAATAAAATATAAATAATAAATAAAAATAAAATAAAATAATACAATAAATTAAATGGCTTAATGTGAGAATAATTCCAAAAAATTATTTTAAAAAAATTATAAAATAATTAACATGAGACAGGCATCCTAGAATATTTATCTAGATTATAGTTTGAAGACATCCGAGTTATGTTTTCAGCAAACTTTGAAACTGAACTGCTCCCATCACTTACATCAGAAGAGTCAAACTATCATTCTTACAATTCAAATTCAACAATAATAAAAGTTATAATCCAAGACTATTTGCTTTTTATTCTCATTTGGTCTGGCTGGGTGTTCATTTTGGACCTTGGATGCAAACATTGATGAGAGAGATTAATGGTTAAATATTTCATGACTGTGCAAGTGCAGTTGTCCTGAAGATTGACAGGAATGTACAGAGAGCTTTGTGTATGTGTGTGCAACCAAAGCTCTCTGCAGAGGAAAGAGTAGGGGATCGGAGAAAAACACTGGGCTCAATCATTCAAAAGGCCCTTTCCAGCTCTCATAATCATTAGACAAACTGGCACAATCCGTCATTATCTCTACAAACCACCAGCTGAACAAAGTCTAAGCCATAAATAATGGCTTTTCCCTCCCTGTTTTATAAAAGTATTTAATCACCATTTACAATATTTACACAACTAATTCACGATTATCTTGATTTTTGTAAGGGCGAATCTAATGAGTTTTGTCAAGCTTGTCAACCTAAAATAAAAGTTAAAACATTTTTCATAAAGTCTGTTTGAGCATAACATTTTTTTCAGAACAATTTTGAACATTTACCCCCCCCACCCCCCCACCAATTCTCAAGCCAAAATTGTATTTTGTATTGAGGACTCATTACCGTAATGCAAAAAGTTAAATTTTTTAAATTGTTTTTAAATTTAACTTTTTTTTTTTTTACATCCAAATAATTAATTTTACTGCTTTTAAAATTATTCTGATTTTAAGAATAGTGCAGCTATTTTACTTTATATTATAGTAACTAAATGCAGTCATTTATTAATTATTACAATAATGACAATTTAGGACAAAATTGTGCTTGATTTATGAAAATAATGTCACAACTCAATCACCAACTCTTGGTCCAAAAAAAAAAAACAAACAAAAAAAAAAAAAAAAAAAAAATTATTCCTGCAGAAAACAAGTAGTAATACAATTTATTTTATTACCAAATTTGGGGTTAAATATGATCTTAACATTTAAACTGACTAAAACATCTGCTTTCATATCTCATTAACCTCCCCCTGACCAATCAGAATGCAGCAGAAGCTCTTCTCACACTGGTATTAGCCAATCAAAATGTCTTGACACATCAAATACTCTGCATCTGCAAGCTCTGCTCTCCTTTTGGTGAGCCTCTCAGCCAATCAAGCAGCTTGTGCTTAAGAGAGGGATTGCTCACAGCATGCATTCAGATGGCAATAAAAACACCATGACATTATAGGCCGATCAGGAACATTCATTCACTCTTCTGACAAAGCTCCAGAGCTCGCTACATAGACAGCATTTTAAAGTAACAATCATTGCACACGATGCGAACCCTGTTCCAAAAGGAAAGGAGTAATAAGCTACCTATACAGGAGGAATGTGGAGTTGCTGCCTACTGAGAGTGTTCCAAATCAGTTCTTATGAGGTTTCCACGATGGTTCGGATGCTTCCCTAGAAGGCCGCTCACTAGGTTTTGAAACGGAGCTCCAGCGTGCTAATCGGAGGGGGACAGCAGGGAGGAAACCAGCGCTGTGCTGGTGTGCTCACCTCAACAATAGGGCAGCAGGGAGGCAGCATGACAGAAAACAGGGAAAGTGTGTGAGTGTATGTTAGGCAGACGGGTATCTGTGGTCATGTCCTGCTCACTGTTCCCTGCCCTCTGCCACAGGCCCTGATCTTATCAGCCCCCCCGCACCCGTACAGCACACCACGGAAAAGGGAAACCCAATTCAGGACCGACCCTTCCTACCATTTTCCCTTTCTGGAGCAGCTGCTGTATGGCCACATTCTGCTCTCGGCTACAATTTATACGCAAATCGCGAATGCAACATGCTGCACTTTTTTTTTTTTTATACTTCCTCTCAAGCAGACTGTACAATGAATGCAAGGAAACACTGCAATCATAAACCTAACAGGCCTATTCACCCAACCCATGTCAATGTGTCATGTAAGTATGCAAGAAGTCATTTAGAAAAAATTTTTTTCATTTGGTTACCAACCCAGCTTCAACTGACAGCAAAAAGGCCATCTTAAAACCAATTAGGCCTAATATCAGCATGAGCCGCAGATTGAGGCTGAATTTCACACAGCAATCTGGAGTGAATGAACCAATATTTTTGTTACTAGGGATGCAACATTAAAATTGTGATGAAACGGAAGTAGTGACAAATCTTTCTTCTGTATTGTGAGTGTAACGGATTTACGAAAAAGAAAAGGTGTGTGGCATGGACTCATTCATCGGATGTTGATTGGGTTTTTGAGATATATGAGAAATAAAGAAAAATAAAAACAATATGATTAAAAATTATAATTAAAATTAAAAACAACATATGAATGGATAAATGGTTTGCAATAAGATCGATAACATGTATTTCCAAAATATTAATTTATTTCATGCCGACTTTAAAATTATACCAATAATTGTTTTCATGTAATGTAATTATTAATATTAATTCATTAAAAAAATTGGCTGTTGACAAATAAATGGCTTAAAATAAATTTTAATTTAATAATTTAAAAAAAAGTACAGATTACAGATATATGATGCACCGTAATTCATTTCATAAATAAATAAATAAATACAAAACAAACAAACCACCAGAATTAGAGAACTCTCAAAAACTTGAGGCAGGACATTTTAAATAAATTTAACTTATGGAAAAATTATTGTATTAACTTAATTAAAATTGGTCTGTGCTTCCTTCAAACATAATGCAAGTTCTATCACAAAAATAAAGAGTTTTTCTTTTTGTATTTAAGTTAAGTTTAGAAAGCTTGCTTTAACATTGCTGAGCATTAACATTACATAATAGTGATGCAGAACTTCTTAGTTTGTCTAACTTGTGTATCAGTTTGTTGAGCAAACTAAAAAGGTTATTATCAAAGATAATATAAAAATTTCTTGTTGTTTAATAAGTTGCTCATGGTAAATGGCCTAAAAACTTGTATTTATTTATTTATTTTATGTAAAATCAACTTTTTCCACATCCAATAGTTCAACCAACATTTAAAACAGTTTGTCTGAAAAATGAAAGACTTTTTTTATAGTACATCCAAATCAATAGTGGTTACATAACAACATAGCTATTAAGGGACATTTTTTTCTGTTTTGGAATTGAACAGCTCCAGGTTACTATTATATGCTTTTGTTGTATAGGAAAGGAGCAGCAGAGGAGTAATCAAAGGAAGGTGATTTACCTTTCCTTCAGATTCTGGGTGCTGTGGCCCTGGGCAATCCCTTCACCTATAAAGAGGCCTCTCTATTTTACGCTCTCTCACCGCAGACCTGGACTCCTGAGAGAAAACAAAAGAGGAAATCTTAAAGTCCACAAATCACACAGCCTTCAGTCTTTTAATGGAAGCATTCTGCAGCTCTCTCAAATGAGATGTGTGAGGAACATTTTCAAAGATTTACAGAGCCTTTATAAGCAGCTCACAGTGAGAGAAAACATTAAAGTGACCAGTGGTTCAAAGTTTCAAAAACACTTTCTCAGATTTAAAGGTCGGAACAAAGACACTGAAGAAACGAAATAGAAAAGGGCTCTATACATTAACAAAACAAACAGTGTCTGGCTGGTATACTGGGAACAACATAAATAAGCCACAACTCACAGCACCACCAACAGTGCAGCATAAAGCCCACAGGAAATTTATATCCTGAGTTTGTTGCTCAAATCATCTGACTCTGTATTCATACAAAAACTGAATAAAATAAATCTCAGAGAGTTACCAGGCCATCCTGTGCTATGGGGGTTTGCGCTCCACCACTAAACTTCAACTGATTGGTTGGACATCCTTAACTGACTCCTTAGAAAAGTTTAGACGGTATTTTCTTTTCATCTCGTCTCTGTATAATTCATGTTAAAGCAGTGTTTCAGCGCTGCGCTGCTTTGTTTACAGCGGTAACCAAGGAAACACTGTATCTGCTGTTCCAGAAGCGCCTCCTGCTGGCAGAGAGCAAATCTGCGTCTCATTCAACTCATCCGCTGTTCTTGTCTCGTTCAGATGTTTTATGTAGCATAATTTCAAAAAGTTAATGTCAGACCATTCTGTTTATGCTTCAAATTATACAATCTAATTTAGATTAAAACTGCTCATCCAGCATGTATGCAGCATCTTTGTTTGGATCATGATTAAAATCCAGTGGTTGTCTCTAATTGAATGGAAAGAGCACAGGCAAAGCCTTAGTTTGTTTATATGAAGAGATTTCTTGTATTTGTGTTGTTTATTTATTTGATTTGGGGTTTGTTTTAAAATGTAATAATTTAATTTCACAAAGAAATGTCTGAATTTTGTCCAAACAATAATAAAAGGACATATTTTCATTTATAATTTCTCAAATCTCATTTTGTAAAAAAACAAAATTGTGAGAAAATCGCATTTTGAGTTGAACTTAGAAAATCGAAGTTGAGTGAATCGTTACATCCCTAAAAATTAAGTATTAATTCTGAATGTAAATAAATATAATAAAAGCACAAACAAATATGTATTTACTCATTTAATATAAATAAATTAAGCACAAATAAATATGTATTAATTTCAGATGCAAATTAATATATACGTAAATATTTAAAGAATAAATAAATGATTATTCATTCTGGGCACAAACAAACAAGTAAATAAAGCAAAAATAAAAGTTTATTAATAAATGCATAATGATAAGTATAAATGCATATTTATTCATTCTGAGTGCAATTAAATGAATAAATATTTATTATTTCTAATATAATAAATAATTAAATATTTAAACCTCATTGTAAAATTTAATTGTTGAACAGGCAGTGTCAAAATATATCCACATGAAACCATAAAAACCCAAATTTCTAGACAAAATCCAAAAGAACCGAATGCAGATGTGGTTTTAAAAGTTTGACTATTTTTAACTTGACATTTAAAAAAAAATAAAAAATCATGCTTGTGGCAGAAAACATAAAAAATAAATGTGTGATGTGACAATATTGATCAAAGGCATCTGTCTGAATGTGTAGCAGCGGTGCTTTAAAAGGACACATTTAAAAAAAATCTGATGCAACCATGCAAACTGTCCCAATACAAATCATTAAGTTTGTTTCATAAACTTAAAATCTAGACTGTCAATTGTTGGATGACTAGCCTATTCTCAACAAGAATTGTTGGTAAAAAAAAAAAAAAACTCCGTAGACCTAGCGATTAGTTCTTATAGATTAATTTGAATCTAGCCCATGACAACCAGTTCTTCCTCTTTTTCTTTCCATGCTTAGATTTCTTAAAGGGGTCATATGATGCGATTTAAATTTTTCCTTTCTCTCTGGAGTATTACAAGCTCTTGGTGCATAAAGAAGATCTGTAAAGTTGCAAAGAATAAAGTCTGAAATCCAAAGAGATATTCTTTATAAAAGTTAAGATTCAGCCACGCCTACCTAAAACGGCTCGTTCTAACACGCCCCCACATATCTACGTCACTATGTGGGAAGATTTGCATAACGCCGCCCAAATGTTCACGCAAAGAAAGAAGGCATAACTTTTATTCTCGCTGTAGTATTGTTGTTGCCGCTGCCATGTCGTGAAGGTGCTGTGTGCTTCGTAGTGAAAGCAAAACTACTTTGTTTGGCCTTCCAAAAGAGGACGATATCTGCTTCGTCATGATCCGAAGCTGATCCGTGCTGGTTGCTGAGGAAATACTACAACTTTGCGCTGTGGATCGCTGGACCGGCTTTCACCGTGGACGAAGCGGAGTCCAGCCCGGAGGAGTCGTCACATGTCCTTCCAGATGCTCCTTTGTCGAAATCGCCGGCCGCGCCGTTCTCAAGCCCACCCGCCTCTGCTCACTC